AGCTGGTTTGAGCTGAAAACTGACTGTGAGCTTAATTTATCCAAGCCAGCTTTAAACAACAGTATTTTTAGGTATTCTTTTACATTTGGTAGGGAATAGACTAAGAGCGGGCATCAACAGGGAATGACTTCTGTTCTCCTGGGGTTACCGTGTCTAGACAAAGTAGACTGCTGATGAGCATCTTGAAAAACTGTATGAAATCAGACCAGGGATTATCCTAGGCACAGGATGCTCTCCCCAACGTTTTCTTTACAGTACCATATTTTTTTTTTAAATCATATCGTTCCCAAATTTGTTTTAACTGATGCTTTTCACAGCGATTTGAATATCCCAATACAAAAGAGATACAAAAGATACACATGGTTATTTGAAGCATCAAATTAAGTTAAACAATATTATCTTTTCCAGCATGTCTAGCATTCAGGAGGCCAACTGCACATGTACATGGCAATTGGCAGATGCTGTGTTCCAGAAAGCTCCTGTAACACTTGCAGGACACTGAACTGTGTGATCTGCCAGTGGATGAACAGGGAAGAGTTTTTAGCTTCTGTTTGGTTTCTCTTTAAGGTCATCTTTTTGATCCGTTTTTCAGCCTGCGGGGCTGCTCACGTCCCGTGAGGCTGATAAAGGAGTTCATGAGCACAGAATAAAGAACAGACCAGAATATTCATGTGCTCCAAACTCCTGGGAACTTGCAAGAGAAGGGAAAAATCTGAAATATTTTCTCAGTAGGATTCCCCCACTAAGCAACATTTTTCTCTTCTGTGTAGACAACTAGTTCAAAGCAATTTCGACACTTCATGCCAGGCCCTGCACTCCTTCCACTCCACAGTGGTGCAAACCATGAGCAGATGGTGCAGTGCAGTGAAAAATCAGGTCTCCAGGAAAACACAAGCTGAGAATAAAACACCCTCAAGCAGAAAGCTACATGGCTTATTTCAGGATAAAATGAAAAACTGAGATCCTTGGGCAAAAAATAGAATACGCCTTTTAGAGTGTAGAGTGGTGTATTCCACTTACACGAACTGCCTCATTCCTTCCCATTTGAGAAAACATCCATCCCTTCACAGCTGAAGGCTTATCTCATTTGTTGTCTTTCAGTTCATTGATCTGGTTTCTCAGGGCTTTCACATTAGTGTTCTTTGCTGAACTAACAAGCGTGGTTATCGCTGAATTTTCCTTCATTTTTACTTTCTTGCACACTGAAGGCAAAACCTTTCAGAATTTCTTCCCACTTAAGCTGCAGCATGACCTGAATTGCATCCATCTTTGTTTAAATCCACTGGGGCATAAACATCCAGCCAAAATAGGTAAGAATATAATGTCAAAACTTTAATTCTGGGTTTGTATTTGTGCATAAAGAGAGAAAATACCCCTGAAAATTTGACCATTTCTTCCATTAAGCCTAATTTATTGCATGCAATCTCTGCACTTGTGGTCTTTAAAGTTCCTGACATGCCCCTACCTCACTATGCCCTCATCCCAAAAGTAAAACTTTTAACTCTGCTCCAGCCAAATTCCAGCTCCTGACATTCCTCTGCTTGCACTGGAGTGCCAGGAGTAAGTACCAGGGTAGGGAAACTTGTGCATTTACTGTGCTGTCTTGTGTTAAAGAACTATTGGATTACATCTCGGCTGGCTGCATTTTGGTGACCTAGATCCTGTTCATACTAGCTGAAAAATAATTTAGCAAACCTTGGTATAAAAGCGTATCTAAGATAAAAATGGGCTGATATTTATTTATCTGGAGGAAAACAACAGGAGCAAACTACTGGCACTTCTCACTGGTATAGCTGAAACAGCTACTCTGAACTGATACCCTGATGTCTGCTTTCTTTTGTCTGTAGCTGCATCTGTACATGCATCTGCGGTGACCCCCCGTATACTTTAGATTTCATCTGCTATTTGTGGAGTTCTTCTGGATCCTTCTGAAGGACATGCCTGACAAGGAACCAAATCCATTCAGCAGAAGGGCACTGAAATGAGCCTTAGATGGATGTAAGACCCCATCACCATCATCATCAAGCCTTAGATGGATGTAAGACCCCATCACCGTCATCATCATTATTTATAACAACTCCATGCACCAGGCTTGCTGGAAAAAAAAATCCAAGACTTTGCCAATTACTAAAGCAACAAAGAAGATTCTGCTGCCCCAAAGACTTGCTACTCATTGGTAACTTGCCATCCAGCTTGTTTTTTCAAAGGGAAAATGAATGCACAGGGTGCTTGGAGTCAATTTTTGGTGGTGAATATGAAGTCACCGTCTATGCTAATATCAGTGGCCGTTTCACTGTAATGTGCTTTACTGTACAGAGAACAAATACAGTTTCCATGGCAGTGTAAACACAAATACATACCACACTCCAAAGAGTGAGTCACATGTGCTGCAGAGAACGGAGAAAGTTCACTGTCTTCATCTGAACACATCTGGGAGAGGAGGAGGAGATTATCTCACTTTAAAAATATTTTATAAATATTATGTAAACCAAGATTTGTTCTGAATAATTCCATGTCTTAGCAGATATGAAAGACAAATCCTTTGAAGCTAAAGGAATAAGACAAGGCAGGTACTTGTTTACAGTAGCAATGTTCAAAACTATAATGAATGTATTCTTAAAAGATATACACAACCCAATAGTTCTGGAAGCCAATGCAAATTCTCCGTGAGCAGTTTATCCCAGTCTTCTAAAGAGTTACAACAGGAACTTAGCTGTTGTGAATGAAGAGCAAGTTCCACAGAAAGAGGAGATGGATAAATCTGTGGTGACTACTTAGTACTGGTACTAAGTACTGGTCAAGACGTTTCTTTGCACTGCATGTGTTAGCCTTAGGAGGTCTCGGCACAATGCAAAACTACACATCGAACGTGTGATACGGACCTTTGCCTTGCTGCTGGGAGTTTGAAGACAAGTGCTTTATAGTCTGAAATAGTGAGAGCCTGACCTTGAGTATCAGCAGCAAGCACCTCACAGGTGTCTTATAAGATCATTTATCCAAAGCTGATACATTGATATATAGATTCAGAGGAAAATTAATCTTGGATGGAATTAAAATCAAATATGTAATCTGTACTTCATAACAGGGACAAAAAAATGATGAGTGCTGTCTTGGGGAAATAAAATGTGCACTCAGTAGATATGGGAGCAAGGGTTTTCCCTAGCAAGAGGTTTCTTCTAAGCCCCAAAACCCAGAGGTTGGTTTATGATCCCAAGCTAGATAGTTTATATTCCTTCATAAGAACGTTATGTTTTTAATATTACAGTTCAGAAGGAGGTCTTGGCTACTTCTTTTACTAACCTAAATCCTTTCCCAGGACCTATTCTGCCTGCAGAATATTCAGATTAATTGTCAAGATTTCCAAAGGCTGCTTTGAACAGGAATACATCCTTTGGATCTTACTGCAAGCGAAAGCAAAGCAATGTCATGGCAAAACTGCAGATTCCTCTTGGCTGGACTGACACGGGAACGTCGACAATGTGAATTCTGTACTTGAGAGTCACTGAGGTAAAATGGGGCCTGAAGGTTGAGGATTGCTGTTTATACACTGACTCGTGGCAGAGTGCACAACATACAGAGAGTTTAAAACAAAGTTAGTAGCAGTAGCAGTTAAGACCTTCCATGGGAATAAGGGTTAAGGGAGAAACAAAACCTTTCATTAGATCAACTGCAGGAGCATGACCTAAATCTGACACAGCCCCATCAGTAAGGGCTGGGAGATTAGTGGTGACTGCTTTCTCTCCAAACTAACAGAGATACAGATACTTTGGGCACTGACTGTCAGTGAGCTTGTTGACACCGTTTTGCCAAGATGATCAATTTTATCCTCCTCATCCTCTGTCTGTCCTCCTCATCCTCTTTTGCAGCCTTCTCCACCACTCCTTTGCTGACCCTTCCTTTCCTCTTACAACGCCCTCTCTTTCCCTCTGCTCATTCCTCTCTTCTGACCGGCCCCTCCTGCTGCTGCTGGCCAGGTTCCTGCTCTCGCCCTGCCCTGGGCTCTCCATCCTCCGCCATGCCTCGAGCCCAGCTTCTCTCCGCGGCTCAGATTCACGCTCCAGGTAAAGCTCGTGGGGCCTGTGGCGCCGTCTCCAGCTCTCACCGGTTTACTCCCACTCGCGTGACGCGGAGCTTTTGTCCCCCTGTGGCATTTCCGAGTTTAAGCTTTTGTGCTGTTCATAAAACAAATGACCCAGGGACGCAGGAAAGGCCGTTTGGCTGCGAAGGTTCGTCTTTCTCCATCTGAAGGACTGCCGTTTCACGGACATCCTCACTAACTGCTTCTACGTAGGTAAGCGCACCTATTGAGATAGGCGGCGGGGAGTCACAGCCTCAGTTATTGGCGAAAACAGGAAATAATTGCTAACGTTGGCAGAAAAAAAGTAAAAAGCCGGGAAATCGGCTGAGGAGCCCCGCGCCGGCGACGCGGGC